ATGATCAAGCTCTTTTATCCGATACAAGCCATAACTGCGATGAAGACAGTCAGTGTATCAGTAGCCTCTGCAGCAGTAGGTTTCAACATCAGAAGAAAGGGAAAAGCGAAATCCCCAAATATAGAATGGTGAGCACCTACCTAGTCACACTTGATGGAGAAACTCTGGAAGAGATAGAAAGTTTCATGTATCTGGGTAACATTATCGATGAACAAGAAGGATCCGATGCAAATGTGAAGGCACGGATTGGCAAAGCAAGAACAGCATTCCTACAGCTGGATGGCATGTAGTGACCTATTTTTATGAAGAGAACGCGATCGGTATAATGGAAACAGTTGTTATTATAACCAATTTACCAGTGATTGTTTTGCTGTACCTGTTTGTTTAAGTGTACTAAAAACACACATTCCTCCGTTGTCTGTGACCTGAAGAAGCATGGTCTACTATATTAGTACTGCTCTAATAATAGACCTAATCCTATAATTGTAGGTTTGCCATGCTATAACTGCTTAATCTATACGATCTTACGTGGAAGTCACATCATCGTCTACACCAACTCCCTGCATCGTAACAATTACCAATAACTGATAGAGAACAATCTTAGGCTAGAGATGGAACAGTATATTTAATATGAATAAACGATATGAGATAACATTCAGCAGGGACCACGCCTGCATGGCCGAGCCATGCCATACGATCAACTCCAATTAATTCAACCCATTATTCCCACCTTTTCCATCGTTAGGTATTTCTCCGCGTCAAATATTGGATATCTAGTTTCCGAGTAGTCTCGTGTTCAGCTTTGAGGATTGTGTGGTTATGGTCCAATGCCACTACAGACCTTGCACGAACTCGTGTACGTTCAGTAGTTCCGCTTGTAAACTTTGGCGCAATCTCGGTATTCTTCCGATACCATGAGATTTTCAACAAATACATCTCATTACAATCTTCAATTGCCTCTTGATATTTGGTCTACGGAGGGATCTTACCTCGTAATTGGCACGTAGTCTTTCTGTAGTGGTGATCATAGTCAACCAGGACTCGACATCACACTATAAGCCTATGGAACTCAAAACAACCATCTAGAATGCAATATCAAAGTCAGAATCTTCAGTACGAACGTCAACACAATTCTACTGTACGGAGCTGAAACTTGGAGAACGACGACAGCTATCATGGAAAAGTAGAAATATATTTTGACAGTTGTCTATGCAAGATACTCAATATCGGACGCCATCAGCAACAACCTACTGTGGAAGAGAACAAACCAGCTTCCAGATGATGAGGAAATTGGTGGCTAGTGGTTTCGTAAGTGACGTGCATTTCGTCATGAACCGTCTATAGAAACTTACAAGACAGTTAAATGTGCGTAAGTGCTTGATGGTAGTCGGTCCTGGGCAATCCAGAATGGCCACCACTTTGCTTCTGAGGGGTCGAATGCCTTGCGCATCTGTAGTATGTCCTAGGAAGCCTAATGAATCAGTTCCCAATCGGCATTTCTGAATGTTTACATGTTTTCGTAGTCGGTGGAAAACCAGATTCAGATGCTGGAGGTGCGATTCTCTGTCCGGACTTGCTATTAGGCAGTCGTCAACATACGCATGTACGAAGTTGAGACCTCGAAAAACGTCGTCTATGAACTTTGGAAAGTTTGGGCAGCGTTTTTTAGACCGAAAGGCATTCGCTAAAGTTCGTAGAGTCCGAAGGGGGTTGTGATAGCGGTTTTCGGAATATCGTCGGTAGCCATAGGAATTTGGTTATACGCTTTAACCAAGTCGATTTTCGAAAAGACAATTGTACCTTTCAAGGTAGCTGCCAAATCGTGAATGTGCGGCAACAGGTAACGATCGCCGATAGTCACCAGTTGGACGCCAATCGTTGCTGACCTTTTTAGGGACCATGTGCATAGGGGGTGAACGAGGGCCTTTTGACGGTCGTATGATTCCTAACTCTACCATGTGATCAAGTTCGTTTTCAGCCAACCCGAGGTTTTCGGGGGCTAGTCGTCGTGCTGGTGGCCCTGTAGTCGTGGCTTGATGTGTAGCGTTGCTGGTTACACACAGCAGTTTTGGCTGTGGTTGGCATATCCCAGAACACCTATCGCATGGTGGTTGATAGAATGGGTCTATCGCGTGCTTAATTGTGACTGGAGATAATCCGCAACGGGAAAAAGAAGTTACGCAAACAGATGAATTGGTATTTCCGTCTACTAGCCTCCGTTTGTGCGTATCGATGAGTAGATTGTGGTGTTGCAGGTCTATACCAGTGATTAGCATAGAAACATCTGCAACAACGAAGATCCAGTGGATAAGTTTGAGTAAACCGACCTAAAAGTACCTTTCTACCATATGTGGTGTTAGGCTTTCAGTTTGCCGTCTGTAAGTGTAAAACTGGTTCGTGAAGCCAGTAGTTAGAATTTGCAGAAAGAACGCTAACTTCTGTGCCAGTATCGACGAGGTAGCGAACTTTCGTTATCACATGTGACGTATAACAGACGCGTATGTTCGTCGGCTACGGTTGCCGTTAAGGCGTGGAAGTTTCCAGATTTTTTTCGTGTCGGTCGATTTTCAGTTGAGAAAATTGCAGGGTTTTCTGCAATTTCTTGAGGACTTTCCATACTGGTTGTGATACCAGTACCAGTCGGGGTTATCAGTCTCCCACAATAGGACGAAACAGCCGTCCAGTGTTTCCAGGTTTTCCATGCTGGTCTAGCTTCAATTGACTCATGATCTCAACCGCTGAAATAACGTGTAAGTGTATGACATAACTCTGTTATGTCATTCTGGGTCGCTTGAAGCTTTTCTTTGACTGAAAAACCTCGACATTCGAAGATTTGCTGATTTCTAAGATGCAGTCGGCAGATGCAGTCAGCTCGTCTACGGTGTTGTTTTGAAACGAGACCAACACAGCTTGCACCTGTTGAGGAAGTTTGGATAAGAACCGTCGCCTGAATCGGCCATCGTCGAAAGTTCTTTGGCCAATGACCTCTCTCATTCTTAGCAACATGTCTGTCGCAGAGCCGTCATGAAGGTCGATATTATTAAGGAGTTGATCTAACCTTAGTTGATTGATTGGATCTCCGAGTTTATGGATAGATCGTTTCAGTGCTTCGTAGGGTTCCGAAACATCACTACTAAACATGCTAGGTGTTACGTACCTGTTGAATTCCCGCGTTAGTGCCTTGACTACTGCGAGGAATTGTGCACGTGTGTCGTTCACGCCGCGCTCGTAGAAGTCGGCCTCTGCGTAGCAGAACCAGGCTTCGATGTTGTCTGGCCAGAAAGGCATTAGTTGAAACGAAGGAGGAGACGTAGTCTTTAGCTTAAGTAACTTAGGTGTTTGTTCCGTCATGGTGTAATATCAAGTACGAGAATAAACGATTGAAAATATAAACATATATATCAAAAACACGGGGGAAAATATCACAACTTATAAAAATTAATATAAAGCAATAATATACAGAATTCCAAAAAGGGACAGACTCACAGTTTACAATTTGGAGTACCAGATCACGTCGGGTTTATCAATGAAGATGTCACAGGTATTCGGAGTTTGACAACGCCTTAACCAGCAACACCTAATATGAATCGTACCCGCCAAGTGAAGTCAAAAGACAGAAGCTAGGAGGTTCGAAGACATATTTGATAGGCTATCAATATATCGAGGATCGTCTGAAATAATCTGGCTAGTGATTGCAGGGATTGTTGAGCACGGCGTTTCCACTCGTGATCTGGTGCGGATGCATGACTGAGCGCCTTCAGCTATGTGAGTCCATTAAGACTAATGTGGTCAGCATGCAATGTCGAAGACTCGCACAGCTATTTATTTTGGAGATTTATTTACCGCTACATTAGGAACAGACGTTGGAAGTGAATAAGACATACATTGCGGAAATCACCAGAATGCATCACGAAGCTAGCTCTAACTTGGAGTCCGAAGGGGAACGGAAAAGATGAAGGCCAAAGAACACACTACGTCGGGAACTGAAAGCAGACATAAAAATGATAAATAACAACTGGGAACAACTGTATTCTGTATTCAGGTTTTGTGTCTTTTTTATTACTATTTTAAAGATGCCACAAGTGTTAGAACATTGACAGTGTCTTAACCAGTAACACCTTTATAATCGAAGTATACCGAACCACTCAAATCAGAAGTCAAGAGTGAAGAGATTGGAATCAATATTTTATGCCTAGTACGGAGTAACCATTCATGATCTGGTGTTCATGCGTGACCGAGTGCCTTCAGTTACTCTGTATCCAGTAAAACTAGTGGGGTCAGCATCAATGTCGAAAACTTACAGAACTATTTATTATGGGGATCTGTTTACCGCTACAATTTCCTTGAAATGACTGCTTTTTAAGTTGCATTTGTTCCTCAAGTGGCCATGCATACGATTCCGAATAAGTGATATTATATTTGAATTTACTATCAGGTACTAATATGATCCTGGGGTTGAGGCGAATCTTGATTATTAGTATAAGCATTTTAAAACAATGGATTGTATCGAAATTGAATTTTATTTGTGCCTCATAACATATCTTGACTACGAATTTCATTCGAGTCTAGATCGAAATTAAAGAAATGGAGAACAATAGGACCAATGTAAACGTTTCTGTAATTCATAAACTGGAGAAAACCATTGTCATTATGAACAGCCTGGTTCCTGATTGTTGATAAAAGGTTGAGAACTTGTGTCTCACTCTTCTTCACCAATCTGGATGCAACTAGTATTCCGAAGAATGATAGTAAGAAAGTTAAACATTTCGAAGTGACTTCCTACCTCGAATATGTAGCATATACTCCGAAAAATTCATGGGTAATGATGTTACTTCAGCAATATCAACTTCTTGGGGTAAGTAATTGACCATCTTAAAGCCCAGGAAACGAATTAAATTTAATATAATCAAATGTTCCTTAGTTTATTAAACCACATAAAATGAAGAATATTGAGCATCCATTGTCATCCTTAATTATCAAGAGTAAATAAAAATAAATGGATTTTACTAGTCTATTTCAAGCCTGTCGAATATTAGTTTAAGGTCTCAGAAGGCCACGTGGTGGTAAATTTAACCCTGATCGATGTAATTGCACCCAAAGTTTGTTTCGCCGGTTGATGGTGTATTTCTTGTGTATATATCTTGTGTATTGTCCCTTACTTTATTAAGCTTTCGTCTATTAATTGTGATACCTCCCACGTTCCACTTGAGATAGACTATATTTTTCAATTTTTTTTTACAGATAGTTTGATTTCCTCGCTCGACAACTGAGCAGTGAACACTCTGAATTCATATAGTTCTACTGAGCCGTCGTGTTAATTGCTTGCACGCATAGATTTCGTTTTAGCAATGGCGTCTAGGGTTGGTCATAGACCTGAAGGTACAGATGGTGCGGATTTTCGTCATAGAGAACGAGTTTGTACTCAATACAGCTTGAGGTATGTTCATTTGTAGATATATTAGTACTTGAATAGCCCGTTATTGAAACGTCGCATCAAATTTGTTTATTTACTTCACCTAATGTTGTGGGTGCTCATGTTCGCTCGCCTGCTACCGGAACTGTGCTTAAGACTTGGATTCCGAACAAGGCTTATGGTGGAAAAGGTAATAATAAACTTCATTCTAAGTACCTAATATAGTGGCCATTTCCTCAAGGTGAGTTATGGGAGTACGTCTGGCTTTTCGGTAGTATCTTCCCTACCCTATTCGGATATATCTCATTACAAAGAAGCCGAGCTGGATTGATGCGAGTTTCTCTTACTGGAACTGTCATTTTCGGTCTTGGCACTGTAGCTGTTGGATGCTTCACAAACGCATTCGAGCTGATGACATATTACCAAAGTCGTGTGGCTAAGCACTATTTCTATGAATTTCCCGTTGTCGTCTTGACCTACATATTTTTCTCATTATGTGTTCAGGTACACGGCTTCTCTGTCTATTTCGGTTACAAGTTATACTGTATCTGGTCTGTTAAGGTGCGCAAAGTACGGTGATTGTTGTTCTCAGGCTCGTTTGCTTCACGGTGATCAATAGAAGCAGAAAGTATCCCCGCTTTCTGCATAACTTTTGTTGGGAACTTGACTGTTTTGAAAGGCCGAGTATATTTCTTAAATGAATGCAGTAGTTTCCAAATGTTTGTGTACAGTTTCTCATTAAAAAGTGTTATTCAGTTTTTGTAATTATTCTCACTAACCTTAAACAGTCGTTATCAACTCTTTCGTATGTACATAGCTTTAATATATATGACATATTGCCAGCCTCTGGTCAACAATCTTGTTTATTTCGCTACGGCTTAGTTTACAAATGCCTGGGAATGTAAAAAATATATTGGCTCCCATCCGAAGTGCATTGTATGACAACATATTTAAGTCATTTAAGTTCATTTTTGGCGAACGGATTTGTAGATTACAACTGTTAGTTACTAGTGTTTAATTCTACTTTTCATCGACATAATGGATTATTGGCTAGCAAGATTAATTACTGCTTAGTTGTTCGTACTATTTCATTTGTGACTTCATCCTCTATGCTTAGTTTGGCATGAACATACCTTAGATATTTGAAAACTGCAGTTTGTTTTTCTGTAATTACATGGAAGTCCATTGTAGCCGATTACATCACTATGCCTCATAATAAGCACATCTGTGGAGTTTTTTTTTAAGGTTTTCTAACTTCAAAACTGCTGTGTATATGGAGTAGTTTGATCGTATCCATAAGCATGAGTCAGTCAGTCAGCTACAACGTAGGACCAGGCACGTATATGCATAGGTTCAAGTTGCCATACCTCATTAACACAACAAGATGGACACCAGATTCATAAAAGTAGTTAATTCAAAGGTGGTAATATATAAACGAAAGATTGCATATAAGGATATAATACAGGAAGGAAGAATTAGTTTGTAGAAAGAAAGACATGGAGTGATTTTGATCTCTTAGTTTAAGGGAAGACAGAGAATGTATACACCTACGCCATTGTGATCGATTCTGAGCCATGTCACCAAGAGTCTCCAAACATTAGCTACGATAGTCACGTGGAACCCCAATCAAATAGTCTGCATCTCCCAACATGGCTCAGACTAGAAGTTAGTGACCTCAAGCATTGATGCCACGTTTTGCTTTGGCCGCCCCTAACTTTCTTCCAACCATCTCCAACACCGGTTAGCATTGCACGTCGTGGTAATCAGTATTCAGGCATACGTAACACGTGGCCCAACCATCTCTGTCGATGAAGAATCACAACCTCATCAACTGATTTACCATCATTCCCTAATACCCTGCGTCTAACCTCACTATTACTCACCCGGTGATCCCAGTAGATGCGACCAATATTTCTAAGACATCTGTGGTCAAATACTAGGAGCTTACGAATATCTTCTACTCCTAATGGCCATGTTTCGCTGCCGTAAAGTAGAACAGAACGAACTAATGCACAGTATACTCGTCCCTTAATTGATAGACGGATATCTCACCTTCACCATAGGTGACGTAATTTGGTAAAAGCCAACCTAGCTTTTCGAATCCGTGCTGAGATTTCTGCCGACACCAATCCATTTGGGCTGATCAAACTTCCAAGATAAGTGTTGTCGACGCGTCCAACTACTTCAATCTCTATCCTTAGTTCAGGTGTTGAAGCAGGCCAGTCCTGAAGCAACAACTTGTATTGTTGCTCAGTAGCTACTAAAAGACTGCATTTTATCAGCGTATTCACCGAACAGGACTATTTCAACTGCGTATTCTAAGTTGGTAAGTGGACCTCCTGGGAGACTAATCCAGAAACCATAGGTCTATGATGAAATTAAACAGAAATTGAGATATTGGACAGCCTCGACGGACACCACTTGAGGTTGCAAAAGCAGATCACAGTTCGCCATAAGCTCTCACTCGACTGGATGTGTTCGAGTAAAGAGTTTTCACAAGGTTTGTGTACTTCTAAGGTACACCATTCAATGATAGACACTGCGACAGAACCTCCCGGTCAACAGTCGAATGCTGCTTTTAAGTCAAGAAAGACCACCATTGTCAGACGCCGATAAGTATGCCTATGTTCTAGAACCTGACGAATGGTAAATATGTGATCGATGCAGCCACGACCAGGTCTGAAGCCAACCTGGTTTTCTCGTATTCGCAGTTCACGTGTCTTAGTTAGGCGTCTGATAATTATTGAGGCTAGTATTTTAGATACTGTATTAGTTAAACTAATCCCTCTATGGTTGTCACAGGATGATTTTAACCCTCTCTTATATATTGGGATAATAAGTGATTGTGACCAGTCAGATGGAATTACGTTCAACTCCCAGATCTTAGCTAAAATATTAGTCAACCTAGTCGATAAAACTAGATCGCCATCCTTAAAGAACTCTGTAGTCAATCCATCTTCCTCGTTTCAGATTAGCTATAGCTCTTTGAACTTCGATTAGAGTCGGGGGAACTACTTCAGTGTTCCATTCAGGCTGTTTGGGAATGGTAGGTAGCTGTAGAGTGGCTGAAGGCCAGCTGAACTGTCCTCTGAAATGTTCCGTCCATCGTTCTAAACGTTTGGGCTGAAAGTAGATAAGTGTCGTCTCTTTAGGAGGTCGTCTCACCTACACTTGACTTACTAATTCCAGTTTCTTTTATTAGTCTGTAGAGCTGTCTTGTCTTTTCCGTTTCTTTTGCTTTCGTTGCATACCACTGCTCACGGTCGCTCCTTAGACTTTTAGTTAACCTAGATCTGATCTGCTTTCGTTCGTCATCGTGTTCGCAGCATGATGGGATCAGTTAAAGAGATTCTATCAATACAATGGACTCACAAGAAATCCATTTGTTTAAATCACTAATAGATGTCGCTGCTGTTTCCACAGCTGTTTTTACATCTTTCCAAGCAACATCTTGGTCAGCCTCGTTTTCAGAACTACCTAAGTGTGACCTCAGTTGTTCCTGGAACCTACTTTTGGTTTTCTCGCTACTCAATTCAGTTCTAATGAGTCTTCTTAATGTGGTTTTTCTGCGTTCAGTGAGGCGCAAGCGAATGCGCGCCCGTATTAGGGCACGGCCGGAGTCCGGGCAGGTACTCCAGAATGAGCGACAATCTTCTGCCGAGCCTCTCCAACGATGACTGATGGCAATATGGTCTATTTGAGTCCATCGTTTGTTTGGTGTAGGGGGTCGCCATGTTAGACGATGTCTCTCCTTATGCTTCAAATTTGTGTTTGCTAAAAATAAGCGATTGTCTGAGCACAGTTGCAGCAGACGATCACCATTATCTGTTCACTGTGCTGGAATACTAAAATACCCACCGAAATGCCCTTCTGTTTGGTTTAAACTACCTCTCTGGGCATTAAAGTCACCTGCTACGAGTACTATGTTTGAACGTTTAGCTTTCTGAAGAAGTTCAGATAGCTTTCTGTAAAATTCATCTTCCACTTCATCTGAGCTGCAGTCGGTGGGAGCGTAGGCAGAAACGACGAGAAGACAACAACGTGTGTCCCTATCCTTCTGAGTTCTTACGGAGCCGTTTAGCCAAACAGCACATAAACGACTGTTAACGGGGATCCACTCTAACAGTGCTTGTTCAGCCCTCACGCTTAGTGCTATCCCTACTCCTGCCAGTCCACGAGAGCTGGCCGTCGGGTCACCAGATACACGGAGGGTGTATCTCGTTGGCTCTCCGTTTTGCTGAGGTGATTTCAAGTGAATGACCACACTGGGATCCTGTGTGCGTGTTTCAGAGACACAGAATACATCAATGATACGAGATTCTAGGGTTTTAGCCAAGGAGGCCTATTGTTTATTTATTATTATTATTTAAAATGTGTAGTTTGGAGCGAGGTTTCAGTAGACCTGGGACAGAGTTTTGAGCATTAGAATCGTTGGCTATGGTGACATTTGAGGAGGAAGCCGAAGAAGGAAGTTTAGAGGTGAAAGTCGATGTAGGAGGAATAATAGGAAGTGAAGACGGAGGTTGATTATGAATACAGTTGTCTTAAGTGCTGTTAGAGGTATGAGGGCGGTTATCACTTCCCGGTTACCCACACCGTGGAAGGGTTGTTCTGGAGGTACCTGAAAAGGAAATTGGATTACAGGTGGTCATAGTGACCTGAGAGCATGACCGCACTGCCCAAGGGACAACTGCTTGAGGTCGGTTGGTTTATAAAGATCACCAACATACGTGAGCTTATTGACAATGATTCAATTATATTGTGATTTATGCTACTTATGTCTGTTGAAGTAGTTGTAGGGATCTCGCTAGTAGGTTTGATGGGTCTAGCATTGAGTCTCAACTTATCAGGTAGGACACTGTCATTGACGTGTGCTGGCTTGAGACGATCAATGCTGACTACCTCGACGCGGCCGTGTCGGTCAACTTTGAAGGTCTTTTCATGACGGGAAATCACGTGAAAAGGTTCTTCGTAAGGGTGTTGCAAGGGCTTGCGCACGGAATCTACTCGTATGAAAACATGTGAACAGGTAGATAAATCTCGCGGGAGAGCGACCTGTCGATGCTGTATTCGAGTTGACACCGGAAGCAGTGTTCGCATATATTCAGACAGTCGTTGTACGTAGTTTGATTTACCAAAATAGTTACTGCTCCGTGGTGTGGTAGGCGGTAGTGCGTATGCATTCCGTACCAAGCAGCCGGGTCAGAGAGGAGAAAAATTCGGACTCGAATTGTTGTCCTCGGTCAGTCATGATAGTCGAGGGAAAACCGTACAGCGCTATCCATCGTTCTACGAAACGGTGAGCAACTGTCTCCGCCGTAATAGATGTGTTGGGAATAGCTTCGGGCCATCTTTTGAAACGATCGATCCACGTGAGTATGTGATCATACGTGTTCGATAATGGCAACGGTCCCACAATGTCTATATAAACGTGATCGAGGCGAGCATCAGGCTAAGCGAACGTGTCCATGGGGGCAGCTACATGCATGTGCACTTTTGGTCGTTAACATTGTAAGCATTGCTTTACTCACATACGGACATCTTTATTCATGGACGGCTAGACGTATCGTGCGGCGATGAGGCAATAATGTGGCTGCGATACCTGGATGAGACAGTCCATGCAGAGCATCGAAAAAGAGACCACGTTAAGCAGAGGGTACGATGGGTCGGGGAAGACCAGTAGAAGCACCACACAGGATAGTACCTGAGTTAGTAGCTAGGGTTACTTCCCGGCACTGAAGGGATGTAGAATGTTGTGCTTCTGTACGAGGTGTCGCTTGCTTAGGCGGCAGCCATACCAGAGAGATCAAGCACCGGCAAAGTAACTGCATTCACTTGGATACGTGACAGAGCATCGGCAACATAGTTCGACGTGACGAAGGTCTGTTGTGAACTGAGAGATATACTCCGGATTTCTGCACTCGTAGTGAGTAGCGGTCAGACTTGGTATGGGGAGCATACGTTAAAGGCTTACGGTCGGTGATTAAGATGAAATCGTGACCTTCTACTGCGTATCAGAAATGTTTGGTGGCACAGTAGGCTGCTTGCAGTTCTCGACCAAAAGCGCTATATCTCGTTCAATTCCAATTCGCGTGGATTACCGCGAAGTAAGTCTGTTAATAGTCGTAACCGTCTTTGCGCGTATGAGA